TCCCTCCCCTCCCCTCCCCTCCCCTCCCCTCCCCTCCCCTCCCCTTCCCTTTCTTTCCTTTCCTTTCCTTTCCTTTCCTTTCCTTTCCTTTCCTTTCCTTTCCTTTCCTTTCCTTCTCTAATTATGTATTTGAAAGGCATAGAAAAAGAACTCTTCCATGCACTGGTTCACTCCCCAAATGGCCACAACACCAGCACTTTGTCAGAGCCAGGAGCCATGGGTGGCAGGGGCCCAGGCACATTAGCAGGGAGCTGGACCAGAAGTGGAGCAGTGGGGACAGGAACCAGCATTCCCACATCCATGATGTAGTGGCATCGTGAGCAGCGGCTTAGCCCTCTGCTTCAGGACACTGGCCCCAGAAACCTGGGCTCGGTTCCGCTTAGGCTGAGGGTTTCAAATCCCATCTGTCCCCAGAGACCTCTGACCCTCGAAGGTGTCCCTGAGTCCTCCTCTGTCATAGCGGGTCCCGGCCTCTCCAGCGCAGGCGGTGCTGGGAGGCTGGGCGGGGCGAGCTGTGAGCACGGCACCCCTGGGCACGACCCTCACTCTGCTTGCTGACACCTGAGGTGCCTCTGTACATAGCGGGTGCAGAGGTTGGGGCCTGGGGCACCCACCCCTCTCTGTCTCCCTCTCCTTCTATCCTTCCCTCCCTCTCTCTGGCTGGGAGGAGCCTCGGGGCAGCCTGTCCTGTCTCCTGCCCGCCTCCTCTCCATCCACCCTCCTGTTCCTCTCTGCCCCTCCTGCTCTCCCCATCTCATTGCCCCCACCCGCCCTCATTACCCTGGGGCCCCTCACACCTGCTCTAATCCCCCCCACACACTGCTGGCTCTTCCCCCTTCTAGATAGGGCTGGTGCTCATCCTGGCCTGCACGGTGGTGGCCGCGGCCGCTGTGGCCCAGCTGTGGAAAGACGAGTGGGAGGTGCTGCTCATCTCCCTGCAGGTGAGAGGGGGCCTTGCCATCAAGGCCCAGAGGGGAGGCCCCAGTGTGCTGGGCGGGCAGAGACAGGGTGGCTGCCCCGTGGGTGAGGGCAGGCCTCCAGGTCACTGAGGGTGCTGCTCACAGGGCACAGCACCGTTTCTGCACATGGGGGCCCTGGCCGCCACCACCGCCCTCTCCTGGATCGTGGCAGGACTGTTCGCCCGGGCGGAGCGCTCCTGTGAGTACAGCCCCCGTGACCACCAGTGCTGCCTGCACCTGGGCTTTGCCTGGGTGGCCAGGGGAGCTGGGTGGGGGGGGACGGGGCAGGGCTCGGGCTTAGCTGGGTGGGGGTTGACTCAGAGAGGGCCACAGGTGGCCTGGAGGGTAGCAGCCCCCTTGGCCTCCCCCCCGCCTGGTTCCTCCTGGGAGCCTGCCTGCCTGTGTGTGAGAGGTGGGGTCGGGTCTGTGAGCACCCCACGCCCAGCTGCCCAGGCCCCCAGGCACTCAGGGCCCCACGTCCGCAGCCTCGCAGGCCACCATCCTCTGCGCCTTCCTCGCCGTGGTCTTTGTGCTCTACCTGGCCCCTCTCGCCATCTCCTCTCCCTGCATCATGGAGAAAAAGGACCTGGGCCCCAAGCCTGCCCTCATCGGCCACCGCGGGGCCCCCATGGTGAGTGCCCCCGAGGGTCCTCAGACCTGGTGGGCCGGGAGCGGCTGCCACTCTGGGGGAGGGGCTTGGTGGGAAATGGAGGTGATACGGGAGGCATAGCAATAGCCCCCGTCCCCAGCTGCGCATGGGAGAAGGTTGGTGAAAGACCCAGAAAGCCTGGATGGGAACAAATCTGAGGAGCCCTGAGGGTGTCTTCTACAAAGATTTAACTTAAAAAAATTTTTTTAAGAATTCTTACTTATTTGAAAGAGAGAGCGTGCTTCTATGCACTGGTCCACTCGCCAAATGCCCGCAATGTCAGGGTTGGACCAGGCTGAATCCAGGAACCCGGAACCCAACCTGGTCTCCCTCATGGGTGGCAGGGATCCGGGTACTTGAGCCACCACCTGCAGCTTCCTAGGGTGCGCATTAGCAGGAAGCTGGACTCGGAGCTGGGCCTCAAACCCTGGCACTCGGATGTGGGACGTCGGCATCACAGGCGGTGTCTGAGCCTCCTGCCCCTAAAAAAGATGTAACTTTAGGCTTTAGGCCTGTGCCCGACACTACCAAGCTTAGGGCTGGGAAGACTCAGAAAAGAGGGGGTGGGGCCTGGGGGTGGGGCCTGGGGCTACGCCCAGGCAGCAGGAGAACCTGCCGGGCTGGGGAGGGCAGGAGAGCCGGGGGCGGCCCAGGGCCGGGGGCTAAAGTGGGCAGGTGGGCCAGACTGAGTCGGAGAAAGAGGAAGCAAAGTCAGGGCCCTGGGCAGTCACTGGTGAGCCCCAGACCGAGCAGGAGAGGCTCCTGGCCAGCTGCAGCCAGCTGGGCCATTTGTGTCTTCTCTGTGGCTGGTTCTCTCTCCGTGTACCCTGTGGGGTGAGAAGCAGGAGCTAGAGTGAAGTCGGGACCAGGAATGCCTCACCCACAGGGGCCGTACCACCACGTCACCACCAGGAGGCGTGCGGGCCTTCCTGGGAGCACTGTCTCCCTGGGGCACGGTCCCGAAAGTCACTGTTGAGCACAACGGGGTCGTGCCACACCCTGGAGGTCTCCTCCACTGCACGCAGTGGGTGTCGGTGGGTGTTGTTATCCAGATGAGACTCCCAGGCGGGTACCCTGCTACTCTCCCACCAGCCCCCTCACCTCCCAGAGGTAGCCAGCCGGGCTCTGGATCTGGGGTCCGGTTTTGCTCCTTGCTGCCTGTTTCCGGGGGTCGCTGGTTGTCTCCAGACTGTGTTGTGGGTGTCGGGCGGGGGTGGGGGGGTGAGGCTGCCCTTCCAGGGCCTGCTCTGTGACTCATCCTCCCCGTGTCACCTGCTCTGGAGGCCAGGGGACGAGGGCAGTGTGCAGAGGCAGAGACAGGAGCAGGGGTGGGGAAGGAGCCCAGTGGCTCCAGCCCCGTCCTCTTTGCTAGGAAGGGAGCGAGCGGTGCAGGGACGATGGGTATCCTTCGTGCACTCCACGTAGCGACCTCGGATGTCTTGCCCATTTGCCGCTCTTGCCCGTCCGCCCCCTAGTTTCTCTGCTACCCTCCTGCAGAGATGCCTCTAGCACACAAGGCGTCCTTTCTAACAAGGTCACCACATTGCTCTTACACCGACAGTAACAGCAGCCCCGTGTTCCCCAGGTCCAACCCATAGCCAGCTGTCCTTTGCTGCCTTAGATACGCTTTTGTAGTTGGGTCGTCTGATGTCAGATCCAAGCGAGGTCCTCCATGCGCCCCTGGCTCCACAGTAGCCCGCTCCTGTTTCCCTCATGCCGTCTGTCTGTGAAGAAACTGGGCCGTTGCTCCTGGGACTTTCTCCCACCTTGCCTCTGGCTGCTTGTGGCTGTGTGGTTTTAAGGGGGAACAGGCAGGGCCCCCGTGGGTGTGGGTGTCCACACCTGTGCGTGTCTGCCTGTGGGGCTCTGCCTGCGGCCGGCCAGGCCACACCCACTGGAAGTACTGCCCCTGTGTGGATGTGTGGGGGCAGGATAGGGAGAGGCACTAAGCCCAGTGCTGGGACTCTAAGCACCACGTCCTGTATGTGATGACCACAGGCACACCCTCCTGACAACACAACCCCACCTGGACTTGCCTGGAGCAGGTAGAACTTGGGGTGGGGACTCAGACTTCAGCCCGTTATCCCTGCCCGCTTCTTGGGGACTGCTGGAGCCCCAAGTCTGGCTGGGGAGGGTAGGATTTCCCACACCTTTCCCCAGAAGGCTGGTATCTAACGCCGAGGGGCCTTCACTGTATGGAAGCTTCCAGAAAAGACTTCCCCTCCCTGACATCTTCACGGTCCCTTCTAAGCTTCTCTGGGTCCGTGTCAGGGTGGATGGCTTCACTGGGCTGGAATACAGCAGGCCCATCCCCAGAGGGAGGAGAGAGGACCCTGCATTATAGAGACCAGCTCTGTGCCAGGCTCCGGGCCACAGTCTTTTTTAATTTTTTTAAGATTGATTTATTTGAAAGTCAGAGTTACACAGAGAGAGAAGGAAAACAGAGAGGTCTTCCACCACTGGTTCACTCCCCAGATGGCCACAATGACCAGAGATGTGCTGATCCGAAGCCAGGAGCTTCTTCTGGGTCTCCCACATGGATGCAGGGGCCCAAGGACTTGGGCCATCTTCCACTGCTTTCTCAGGCCACAGCAGAGAGCTGAATCAGAAGTGGAGCAGCCGGGACTCAAACTGGTGCTCATACGGGATGCCAGCACTACAGGCGGTGGCTTTACCTGCTATGCAGGTCTTCAGCCCCTGTTACCTCCCTTGTGAGACTCAGCACATCAGCCCCTTTTTTTCTAAAGAATCTGAGGCCCCGGGAAGACCCTTGGGAAGTGGCATTTCTCCTCCTCAGTCAGCCTGGAACCAGCTCCCCGTAAAGAAGGGGAGCACAGAGTAGTTGGGGAACAGCGTGGCCAGAGGGAGAGCCGGGAATGATCGGGTCCTGGGTGGGAGCTGCAGGGTCCTCCCTCTGTTCTCCATTGGCACCCTGGGTCCCAGCCCAAGCTTTGGTCTGGTGCTGCCCTCCAGTGGCCACAAAAGTATGACCAAGTCCTCAGAACCCGGAAGGGGACCTTAGAACCCCTGATCTTCTCCCAACCATAGGACATGGGGAAACTGAGGAGGACATGCAGACAGGGCACACGGCTAGTGACAGCAGAGCCAAGGCTGGAGCCAGAACCTTCTGATGTCATGGGGTTGCCACTACCATTTATTAAGCACTTTCTGTATTATCACGTGACGTTGAGAGGGGTTTTGATAACATGCCACAGAGAGGGAGCCAGTATTGTCATATGTGGATGAGGACAGGGGCCACCCCTTCTCATGCTCCAGGACCTCCACCTGACCGGGCTCACAGCATAACCAGAGGAACTCTGCATGCAGTCCAAGGCTGCTGGAGAGCCTGTGAAAGGCTGCCCCCAAGCCCCCACACCAAAGTCTAGCTCAGTGCCTGGAATGTGACAGCGACAGGCGGTGGTCACAGTACTGCTGAAGCAGCACAACCGTCAGGCACTTGTATGTGTCGGCTCCAGCCCCTGCCTCCCCTGCCCCAAGTGACCTGAGAGGAAGGCGCCATGCGGCAGAGGAATCCGAGTTCAGAGGAGCTGAGGGTGGCCCGTATCACACAGCTGCTTCACGGAGGGACTGGGAGCACAGAGGACCCTCCGCTGGCTGGGCAGGGGTCCCTCCGCTGAACCCCGGCTCTCCCCCGCTGCCCTCTGTCCCCAGCTGGCTCCAGAGCACACGCTGATGTCTTTTCGGAAGGCCCTGGAGCAGAAGCTGCATGGGCTGCAGGCTGACGTCACTATCAGGTAGGTGTAGGGGCGGGGACAGCACCTTGGGCCCCAACCTCCCCCACGCACAGCATCTGTGTCCCGGCTCCAGGGCCTCAGACACTGGAGGGGAAGCTTGGCTCAGCCGTGGCAGGGCAGGCGCCATGTTCCTGCCAGGGAACCTTGTGCCGAATCCCAGGCTATAGAAGGGAGGGAAGAACAGAGGCCCTTGGGTGGGGCTGGGGACTACGAGCCCAGCAACAGATGTGCTCGAAGGCAAAAACGTGGCTCCATGTGGTGGGACTCAGGCCCGCTCATGAGCCAGATGAGCAGGTACAGGTGCCTCCTTCTAGCCTCAGTTTCCCCATTCTCGGATGAGGTTTCACTGCAGTCCCCACCCCTAGCTCACCCTCACCCTTCAGGGTCCCCCGCCAGCCCTCCCACCCCCGTCTTCCCCATGCAGATGGGGAGCCTGCAGCCCAGAGGGCAGAGTGGGTGGGAGGGTGCAGGGCGACCCCTGGTGGGGGTGACCCAGCAGCCACCTCTCCACAGCCTGGACGGCGTGCCCTTCCTCATGCACGACACCTCCCTGCGACGCACCACCAACGTGGAGCAGGAGTTCCCGGAGCTCGCCCGCCGGCCGGCCGCCATGCTCAACTGGACCATCCTGCAGCGGCTCAACGCCGGCCAGTGGTTCCTGAAGGTCTGTTTGTGCTTGGCTCCAGCCCTGGCGTGGAGCACACAGCCAGGCTGGCCAGCAGCCGCCCCTGGGCCCTGGCACTGCTGTCCCGAGGCTGCCTCCCTCACTGGGGAAAGCTGCTGCTGCTGCTGCTGCTGGTCGCGGTCACGGTTAGAGTCGTGAACGCTGCAAAAGCCTGCCAGGGGAGGCGGGGGGCAGGCGCTGCCGGTGTCCTCCAAGCTGGTGACCCCTGGGGAAGCAGGGGTGAGGCATGAAGGAGGGCTCCGGGATGCTGCCAGATGCACCAGCAGCCCAGAGGGTTCCACGCTCGGTGGTCAGGAAGGCACGGGTGACCCCCCCGCCCCGAAAGGGCTGCTGACGTGGCTGTGCATGTCCTTGTCTCCGCCAGACGGACCCCTTCTGGACGGCCAGCTCCCTGTCGCCCTCTGACCAGAGGGAGGCCCAGAACCAGTCCATCTGCAGCCTGGCAGAGCTCCTGGAGCTGGCCAAGGGCAACGCCACACTGCTGCTCAACCTGCGGGAGCCGCCCCGGGAGCACCCGCACCGCGGCAGCTTCCTCAACGTCACGCTGGAGGCTGTGCTGCGCTCCGGCTTCCCCCAGCACCAGGTGAGGCCCGGCCCTGCCCCTCCCCGGGACTCAGTGCCATGCTTGTGGGACAACAGCCCACCTCACAGGCGCCTTGCACATTCCTTGGGACTAGAGGAATCGGACAGCCTCTTTTTTTTTTTTTTTTTTTTTAAGATTTATTTATTTGAAAGAGCTAGAGACAGGGAGAGACAGAGATCTTCTGCCCACTGGTTCACTCCCCAAGTGGCCTCAATAGCCAGGGCTGGGCCAGGTCAAAGCCAGGAGCTTCAGCTGGGTCTCCCACGTGGGTGCAGGGGCCCAAGCACTTGGGCCACATTCCGCTGCTTTCCCAGGCACATTTGCAGGAAGCTGGATCTAAAGTGAAGCAGCCGGGATGCAAGCAGCAAAGGAGGCGGCTTACCCACTGTACCACTGCGCTGGCCCCCAAACACCGATGCTTAACTGCAGCCTAGATGCTGTAGCCGCGTGCAGGGTCGTGTCCTGTCGTGACAACGGTTTGGAAGTGTCCCCTGACGATGACACTGGCACTCCACCTCTGCTACCCTGAGGGCTGCTGCGGGAGGGGAGGGGGCTCTCACACTCACCCTGCGGCGGGAAAGCTGAGGCTGCCGCTCTCTGCCCGCAGGTCCTGTGGCTGCCAAACAGGCAGCGGCCCCTCGTGCGCAAGCTGGCTCCCGGCTTCCAGCAGGCATCAGGCTCCAAGGAGGCCGTCGCCAGCTTGCGGAAAGGCCACATCCAGTGGCTGAACCTGCGCTACACTCAGGTGTCCCGCCAGGAGCTCAGGTGCCCGCCTACCCCCCAGGGAACCAAGACCGAGTCTCCCCCAGTCCTGCCACCCCGACACACAGCCAGGCAGAGGTTTGGAGACAGGAGGAGTTGGGAGCATTGAGCAGGCCTGGGTTTCTGTCCGAGCTTGGCCCTCTGGGAGCCGACACTCCTTCCTCCTGCACCAGCTAGGAGGGTGGCTGTGAAGGGGCCATGGGCCTCACAGGCCTCCTCAGGGGCTCAGAAGCAGCCTGTCGCCCGCCCCCAGGGACTACGCAGCCTGGAACCTGAGCGTGAACCTGTACACTGTCAACGCGCCCTGGCTCTTCTCCCTGCTGTGGTGTGCGGGGGTCCCGTCCGTCACCTCTGACAACGCCTACACCCTGTCCCAGGTGCCTTCCCCTCTTTGGATCATGGTGAGTTGGGAACGCTCTTAAAAATTTTTTGATTTATTTGAAAGGCAGGTAGAGCGCATACTTCTCTCTGCTGGTTCACTCCCCACACAGCTGCACCAGCTGGGGTGGGGCAGGATGAAGCCAGGAGCCTGGAACTCCATCCAGGTCTCCCCCATGGGTGGCAGGGACCCGAGTACTGGAGCCGTCACCTGCTGCTCCTCCAGGGTGTGCATTAGCAGGGAGCTGGATCAAAGGCAGAGGAGCCAGGACTTGAATTCTGAAACCGATACAGGATGTGGGCATCCCAAGTGGTGTGTCACCATGCCCGCCCTGAGCTGGGAGACTGCTGGGGGCAGGGGTCCCTGGTGAGGACTAGGGGTGGGGGAGTCCTCGCTGGCGTGGAATGAAGGGGAGAGCACTGGGAAAGGGAGCAGACTGAGGGGGCGGAGCCAAGAGGGGCTGGGATTCACCATGACCCCCTGCCAGCCCTGAAGACACCCTCCTCAGCTCTCCTGGGTTCAGGAGCCATGGCAGCGATGGGGCCGTGGGGGTCTGAGGCCACAGGGAGTTGAACAACAGAAGTGCCTGGTCCCCTGGCCCTCCCCTGTGGGCCTCAGCGGCCTGGGTGGCAGAGCCCACACCCTGCAGTGCTCCCATGGTGGCATGTGGTGCCACACGCGTCCCCTCCCACTCCCATGGCGTCTTTCCTCTGCTGGTCTTGCTAGAGCAGACCCTCAGGTTTCCTACGCAGAACCTCCTCCCGGGGCACTGGGCAGATGTCCCCTACCCTAATGCACACACTCAGCACATGTATTTACATCACATGTACACGTGCGCACACCTGCCCACATGCACAGTCTCCAGTCTGCCAAGGTCCTCCCTGCTGACTGGGGCTGGCCTGGGCCCTCTGTCCACAGCCGCCGGAAGAGTACTGCCTTCTGTGGGTGGCTGCTGACCTGGTCTCCTTCACGCTCATCGTGGGCATCTTCGTGCTCCAGAAGTGAGTGGCTCTGACCCTTCCTGGGCCTTCCCAAGGCGGGAGGGGGGACTCCTGGAGGCCCCAGGCTCGCCCTGCCCTGCCTCACTGTGTGGACTCGGGTGGGCTTTGCCCGGGCTTCTGATGGCCTGGCCAAGCTCCCACCAGTGCTCGGACCTCCTGTCCCCCACATACCCAAGGCCCGCAGCTGGGGTGTGGCTGTGGGAGAGGGCGGGGTGGCCAGGGGATGGGTTCTTGACTGACGTACTCTCTGTCCCATCCCGCTCTGATGGCGCATGTCCCTCCTCTCTTTCTCTCCACCCCTCTCTCTGCTGCACTCTGGCATCTCACAGCTATCACTTGATCAGGTAACTCTGGTGTGGTCTTCCTCCTCCTCTTCCTCCCTTCTTGCCACCCCCTCCTGCAGTCCCGTCTGAAACCATGTGGGGCTCAAGCCCTGCCTGGGTTCTCCTGGCCGCCGCCTCCCCTGCCTGCAGCCGCGCCGCAGTCCCCTGCTCTTCCCACCTCTCCCCACGTGGCTCTGCAGCCGGGGACCAGCGTTCTCATGGCAGGGTCCTGCCCGGGCCTCTCCCCCCACCCCCTGCACACTCACGGGGCCTCCACCCCCCACCTCGTGCAGACCCTGCCCAGTCTCTCTCTCCCCCCACCCCAGGCTCGCCTGCTCGTTCACTCTGTTTATTTCTCCACACGTTTATCTCTCTCTCACGTGTCTTCACTTTCTGTTTCTGCCTCACACCCCTGCTCCGCCTTTTCCCCCTCCCGCTGGGGAGGGCCCCACAGTGGCCGGGCTTCCTGTCCCGGATATGGCCCTCCTGGGTCAGGCAGATTCCTAAAGGACAAGCTCTGGCTGTGGGACGGGCCCAGCAAAGGGACCCTGAGCCAGCCCTGCTTTCTTCCCGGTGTCCACACTGCTGCCTGGCTGTGGCACAAGGTACAGCCCGGCCCGTGTCACCGTCTCCTGGGCAGCAGGCGCAGCCTGAGGGAGTAGGGAACCCTGGGGACCAGGCAGGGGGAGAAGGACCTCATTCTCCCATTGGCTCACGCAGCAGCTATGCGGGGACTTCCAAAAGTTCATGGAAATAGAATTAAAAGAGGAGTTTATTTTGCTACATTTTTTTTGAAATTCATGCATACAGGGGGTTTTTAAAAAATTCATGGAAAATACATGTTACAAAAGAAACTTTGCATGAATTTCAAATTTGTTGCACCAAAATGAACTTCTTTTAATTCCACACTTTCACAAACTTTTTGAAGCTCCCTGGTGCTCGTCAGGTGCCTGTAAGGCAGGCGCTGGGGTTGGTGCTGGGGCCCCACGATGAGTGAGACACACGCTCAAGGACTCGTGGGGTGGCCGGCCCAGCCAGAGCACAGGCGCCTCCCTCATCTGTCAGCCCTGTCCACCCATCTACCTGCCTGTCCATCTGTCTGTCCATTTCTGCAGTTTGGTTTCTTAGGCAGTCTTGGCTCCTTCTGCCCACTCAAGCAGGGCTCAGTCCCACTGGGAGAAGGTGGGTAGGTTGCCACCTGCTCTTGATGGGGGAGGGGTGAGGTCCATGAAGCCTTCCGCCCAGACTCCAGGAAAAGTTCAGAGGCCCGGGATGTGGGGCTGATTTGGGGGTGCAGCAGCCACACAAACCATGCCCCAGGCTGGACACAGGGCCCGAGTCCTCCCCGGCCTGTGCCTGCATGCCAGCCCGGCCTTGACTCATTCCCCTACATCTCCCCCCAGAGCAGCAGACGACCTGACCCCAGGTCACTCTAACGCCCTTGCCTCATGAACTTGGAAGACCAGTTCTGAGCAAAGCTGTACCACCTGCCCTCACCTGCTCTCTTCCCTTCCTCTCCAGGGTTCCCCTCTGGCTTCACTCAGCCTGGCCATGAGGGTGGAGCTGTAGGTAACATCAGCTACCCCTGCTAGATGGGGGTGTACCCCAGGGCAGTTATGTCCACTAAGCTCCTCCACCCCCCAAAACTGCCCCATCCCAAGAGAGCCAAGTGTGTAACTGGGGCACCTGAGACAGAACCCACCAACCCCAAGCCATCTTCCTGCTCTAAGGTTCTGGAGCTAAGGCGGGGGCAGGAGAGCCCTGGCCGAGACTCAGGGCCCAGGTCTCAGTTTCTCCCTCTCGGCAGTGGGACGAGGTAGGTTCTGGAAGCAGAGCAGGCAGGATCCCTGCTCAGGGAAGGGGTGGGGAAGGACCTGATGCCCACGGGGCCATCTCTGCAGGTGGCGCCTGGGTGGCATACGGAGCTACAACCCTGAGCAGATCATGCTGAGTGCGGCGGTGCACAGGAGCAGCCGGGACGTCAGCATCATGAAGGAGAAGCTCATCTTCTCAGGTGCGGGGTCCATGGGGGGCTGAGGCCGCGCACATGCACAGCTATCAACTGTCAATCCCAGCCCCGAGTGGTGTCAGGGTCAGGCAGGGTGACGGGCAGGACTGGATGGGGGGAGGAGTCCCTTCTGAAGCCACCCCGTCTGCCAGGCTCACACACGCATCTCACAAGCATTGCTTTCCTCGCCTACTCACTGCCAGTCCTTGAAGACACGCCCGGTGTGCTGGAGGAGGCAGCAGTATAAACCAAGGCCTGGAAAGCTGGATGTCACCGAGCCCTCCCAGAAGGGGGGACTGGGGACAGAGGGTCACTGGGGCTCCCCGGGACGGTGAGGGAGGAAACATGAAGGATGGGGACAAGGAGCCTGTGTAGAGGGTTTGAGGTGAGGTCTGGGAGAGCAGAGGCAAGGACGGGTGTTCCAGGCAGGAGCAGCGCATGCTGAGACACCTGGCACCACTCCTAGGGCCGAGCCTCTGCTCTGTGCCCACTGCTCTGCCAGGCACTGGGCACACGGATGTCCTTAAGGTACTCTGGCCAGTAGGGGCCCAGGCAGCACTGTGGTTCTCCCTCCAAATGCCCACAACAGCCAGGCCTGGGCCAGGCTGAAGCCAGGAGCTGGGATCGCAATCTGGATCTCCCATGTGGGTGGCAGGGACCCAAGTAGCTGAGCCATCACCTGCCATCTCCCAGGCTGCAAATTAGCAGGAAACTGGAATTGGAAGTGGAGCCAGGACTAACCCAGGTTCTTCGAGATGCAGGCAGCCCAAGCAGTATCCCCTCCACTTTTTTTTTTTTAAGATTTTCATTTGTTTGAAAGGTAGAGTGACAGAGAGGGAGAGACACAGATCTACAGATCTTCTGTCTGCTGGTTTACTCCCCAAGTGGCCACAACATTCAGGGCTGGGTCAGGCTGAATTTAGGAGCCAGGGACTGCATACAGGTCTCCCACGTGGGTAACAGGTGCCCAGGCATTTGGCCATCTTCCACTGCTTCCCCAGGTGCATTAGCAGGGAGCTGGATTGGAAGCGGAGCAGCCAGGACTCAATATGGGAGTACCATACCAGCACTCATATAAGTGATTCTGATGTTGCAGGGAGGGGCTTAACCCAGTGAGCCACAGCAACAACCCCTGCACCCTCTGCACCAAAAGCCTCCCCAAGCCAGATTTTAAGACAGGGAGGTCACTCCCAAGGGGGTAGACAGGATGTGCAAAGGCCCTGAGGAGAGAAGACACGTGGGTGGCAAGCTCAGGAGGGTGCAGATGGTTTTCTGGGATTGGCAGGTGGAGTTGCAGGGCCAGTAAACAGTGGCAAGGTCAGGGGCTTCAGCAGAGACAGAGCAGGGCTGTGAATGGCAGGCCCAGTGGCTTCATCGGCCTCCCAGTGCATGACGGGAGTTGTTGTAGGCTGCCCTTCCCACCCTCGCTGTCAGTCATCATCGCGGACCCCCTCCCCACACTCACACACTGTCTGGCTCCCCCGGCCCAGCAGAGATCAGCGATGGCGTGGAGGTCTCCGACGAGCTCTCCGTGGGTTCAGACAACAGTTACGACATCTACACCGACAGCACTGCCACGTCTGTGGGCCCCCGAGGTGGGGGCAGCCGCGCCAAGACCCTCACGGACCGCAGCGGGCGTTAACGGAAGACCTGCCTGTCCCAGCCAAACACAGACACTGGGGGAACCCGGGAGAGCTGGCAGAAGCGTTTGGACTCCCAGTGCTCTGGGAGCCGGCTCCAGCCATGGCCTCTCCCCTGGTCAGACGACCTGCCTCTCAGATGCCCCGGCAGGCCTGGGGCTCCTCCTGGGAAGTGCGGGCCTGGGCTCCCTCCCTGCACCTAAGCCTGGACGCTCTGCTGGCTCAGCGGGCCACAGGCCCTCGTGGCAGTGGAGGAGAGGACGCCCACCTGTGCTCCCTCCGTGCGTCTGTCCTGTGCACACCACCAGGTGACTGACTCCTCTCACACATCCGGCCTCAAGGGCCTGGGCTGTGCCTCTGCCCTCCCATCAGGCTCAAAGCACAAGGAGGTTTGGTTCAGGAAGAAGGCCAGCCGCAGCGGTGGAGACATGCGTGCCCCCCCCCCCCACCGTCTCCGCCGGGCCCTGCCCCAGGAGCAGCCGGAGACGGCCAGTGGTGCAGAGACCCCACAGACTGGCCACAGCACACGGGCCACCTAGGGAAAGCGTGCCGGGCAGCAGGCCTGCGCTGGCAGGAGCCTGAGGGCGCCAGCTGAGACCATTAAAGCTGCCGTCTGGATGTGTGTTGTGTCTGCACTGTCAGCGGGTGGGCCTGGGGTTTACTCTGGGTCCTGTCACTTGGGGAGGTGGCAGGGGGCGGGGCCCCTACCTTGAAGCCAGGGAGTCCTCAGCGCCGGGCTTAGGAAGCAGCATCTGGGCATCGTGCACAGAAGACGCCCTGGAGAGGGAGAGGGAGAGGGAGTGCCTACGGCCACACAGCTCCAGAATCCCAGCCAGACCCTGGCTGCAGCTAGGAATGGCGCTGCAGATGGGGCGGGCTCCTGGGTCTGATGCAGGGGAGTGGGACGAGCAGGCCCCCTTGTGGCCACACAGAGGCAGGCTGAGCCAGAGATGCCACTTCCCCTAAGCAGGGTTTGCCTTTGACATCTCAGGACTTTGGACCTGACCCTGAGGCCCGCACCGTGGGGGGCACCTGAGCTGAAAGCCGTCTACAGGCCTGGGACCACAGGTGCCCCTTCCCCTCACTCAGTGCTGGGGCCTCTGCCGAGCCCCCGAGGTGTGTCCTGGAGGAGAAGCAGGGGCTGCCCCCTCATCCCAGCCTGTATTAAGCAAGTGCTGTGTGAGACCTACAGACGAAGTCATGGGGCCTTGCAGAAAGGGAGAAGAGCTGCCTCCGAGTGCTGGAGCCCACACTGGGCCCCACATTCACCTTGAGGGCTGGGGGGGCTCCCCGCTCCCCGCTCCCCTCCCCTGCTGCTGAACACCTGGCTGCCATCAGCTCCTGCCTCTCCCTGGACACGGGGCGGTGAGTGAGATCCAGAGCCGCAGAGTTGCTCTGCCCTCCTATGAAGCCTCTGGCTGAGGCCACTCCACATGGCACACACTTCCTGATGTCCCAGCAGCCCGCAGGAGCTACTCTCCTGCCAACAGGACCAGGGCCCAGGAGCCCAGCCCAGCCACGCTCCTGCCCACTTCCAGGAAGGCAAATCCCCTCACGGGCCCTGTGGTCAGCAGAGGCCTCAAGTGATGCAGCACCAGCCCAGACATGCCACTTGCTCACAACCCCCAGCCAGTTCAGCATCGCTGCGCCGCTTGACGCACAGGACGGTTAGTCCTTAGGGCCCCCCCAGCACAAAACACACAGATCCACACACAGACGGTCCATGGAGTCACATAAACTATGACACCAGGGTCCAGAGACACCCCTGCCACACACAGAAATGAACCATCAAAGACACACACCACCCATGGATGCACACACTACTGTGAAAACCAGGGTAGAGAAATACCCCTGCTACACACAGAAAAAAAAAGATTACACACACACACTTGGTCCATGGGTCCTCACACTACTGTGATACCCAGGGCCCAAGACACAGATCCCTGCCACACACAGAAATGAGCCATCACACACACGACCATGGATCCACACAGCACTGTGACACCCAGGGTCCAGAGACACAGACCCCTGCCACACACAGACATGAACAATCATACACATACACACACACACACAGGATCCATGGGTCCTCACACTGTTTCAGCCAGAGTCCAAAAAACACAGACCCCTGCCACACACAGAAATGAATCATCACACACACACCCCTGAACCACGGGCCTTCACACTACTGTGACACCCAAGAGTACAGAAACACAGACACCTGCCCTGCACAGAAATGTATCATCACAAAGACACACACACACTGTCCATGGGTCCTCACACTACTGTGAGACTTGGGGTGCACAGAAGCAGACCCCTGCCTGCCACACAGAAATGATCAGAAACACATACACGGCCGGCGCCATGGCTCAACAGGCTAATCCTCCACCTAGCGGCGCCGGCACACCAGGTTCTAGTCCCGGTCGGGGCGCCGGATTCTGTCCCGGTTGCCCCTCTTCCAGGCCAGCTCTCTGCTGTGGCCAGGGAGTGCAGTGGAGGATGGCCCAAGTGCTTGGGCCCTGCACCCCATGGGAGACCAGGAGAAGCACCTGGCTCCTGCCTTTGAATGAGCGCAGTGTGCCGGCCGCAGCACGCCGTCCGTGGCGGCCATTGGAGGGTGAACCAACGGCAAAGGAAGACCTTTCTCTCTCTCTCTCTCTCTCTCTCTCTCACTATCCACTGTGCCTGTCATAAAAAGAAACACACACACACACACACACACACACACACACAGCCCATGGGTCCTCACACTGTTTCATCCAGGGTCCAAAAACACAGACCCTTGCCACACAGAAATGAACCACCACAATGGCGTGTGCATACACACACACACAATCCATGGATGCACACAGTATTGTCAAATCCAGGATTCAAAGACACAGACCCCTGCCACACAGATATGAACCATCAAACACACACTGACCATGGAGCCACACATTACTGTGACAGGGTCCTGAGACACAGATTCCTGCCATACATAGAAAGGAACCATCTCTCTCTCTCTCCTCCCCCTCCCTCTCCCCCTCCCTCTCCCTCTCCCTCCCTCCCTCCCTCTCTCTCTCTCTCTCTCTCACACACACACACACACACACACAGGATCCATGGGTCCTCACACAACTGTGACACCCAAGGATACAGAGACACAGACACCTGCCCGACACAGAAATGTATCATCACACAGACACACACACACTTGGTCCATGAATCCTCACACTACTGTGACATACAGGGTCCAAAGGCAAGGACCCTGGCCACACACAGAAAGGAACCATCACACAGACACAGACACAGACACACACATAGTCCATGGGTCTTCACACTACTATGATATAAAGATCCCTGCCACATGCAGAATCGAATCTCGCACACACACAACACATATACTTGGTCCAGGGGTCCTCACATTACTGTGACACACAGAGTCCAAAGACACAGATCCTTCCTGCCCCACACAGAAAGAAACCATCTCTCACACTCACACGGTCCATGGATCCTCACACTACTGTGACATACAGGGTCCAGGCACACAGATCTGTGCCACACAAAGGAACCATCACACACACACACACACACACACACACACACGAGTCCATGGATCTCATGCTACTGTGACACAGACACCAACCCCACACAGAAATGATCTTACACACACACACACACACGCAGTTCATGGGTCCACAAACTACTGTGACACCCAGGGTCCAGACACACACCCCTGCCCCACAAGAAGTGAACCATAACACACACACACACACACACTCACAGGGTCATGTAAAGTTGCACCAGTACAGTGGGCAAGCAGGGTCACAGACACGGCGCGGAGCCTCACGGCGCCAGACGTGGGGAAACCACAACCGCTGACTGTGGCAGTCACATTCGTATCCACCCCAGGGCCCCACACCGCCCTGTCCCGTGCTCTCCCGCCCTCACAAGTAGCACCCTGCATGCTCACAACCACAGTCACACCCCAGCGTCACCCCATCCCAGGCCCATCAGCTCCCAGAGTTGTGCACACACAGTCCATCCCACCCGCACTCCCGCCACCTCCCTCCCTTACTCCCTCCTGGGGCTGGCCCAAGAGTGGAACAAAAGCCCAGCGTCCTCCTCTCCCCCCCTTCTCTCCTCTCCCCTCCCCCCTGGCGTCCAGCCCCTTTGTCCTCCCTCAGCTGAGCTGGAGCAGGAGTCTGGGCCAAGCACAGGCACATTAGAGCCTGGGCAGCCGGTGGGTGTGTGTGGCCGCCACAGACGGGAGTCCCTGGGAGAGCAACGGCTGCAGAGCACCTAGGAGAGGGCGTGGCCAGGTAAGTACAGGGCAGGGCTGTCCTGGCTGTGTGTCTAAGACAGGGGGGTGGGATGGTCTGGTTAACTTTTACAGGCTGAGCCTACGTCCTGATGCTAGGCTGCAGGTGCCTAGACTTAGCCATAACGGGAGGCTGTGGATTGAGCCCTACGTCAAGTCCTTACCTGCCATGCATCCCCACACACTGGGAATCCCCGCGGGGGAACACAGGCCTGGTGCCGCTGTGTCCACAGTGCCTGGGATAGCAGCAGAATGCTTGAGAAAGCACTGGCACACTTCCTGGGAGCACACTCCCTCCCTCCATCCCTGTAGGAGATCTCCATGGGGAGGGTCCTCCCCTTCACTGACCGACACCTGCCCTCCTGGTCTCAGCTCACCGTAGCTGTCCCTAGGACCAGCAAAGGACAGATGAGGGGAGTGGCCAGCATGCACTGATGACCCTGCTGACCTCACCTGGCTGGCCTCTGGCTGGCTGCTCCTAGGGACACCATCCCACCCCACCCCCAGCAAGAGGCAGCCAGGCCTGCAGAGCCTGGAGCCTGGTGGGCTGAGTGCAGCCCCTCCACCTGAACTCCTGAGTCCACCGGGGTCTCACTGCTTGTGCTGCTGCCTAGGGTAGCCCACCGGGCAGGATCTGGCCCCCAGGGGCAGCAGAGCAGCTGGGATCAGAAAGAGGGAGGGGCGAGGAGCAGAGCTGAGCCCCCTGGAGTAAGCCGCCTCCCATCCAGGAGGGGTGCGAGCAGAGGCTGCCCCAGTGAAACCGTGACCAACAGGGTGCATCCACCCACACCGCGCCTTGATCCCCGCTGCAAAGCCCGGAAGGGCAGGCTCCCTCTGTGTGCAACTCCTCATGACAAACTCTTTAAAAAAGGAGGTGTGGGTGGGGGGACGGGAGGGGCAGAGAAAACTCCTCAGGGTTGTGAGGGTCAAACGAATTCACATACACAAAAGCTACTAGCACACCGCGTGTGCTCCCTCTCACTTGAACAGCAACGACCGAAGGGGGTTAATCTCTGGGTGTGTTTTGTGCACCTAGCACTGGTCATCCATCTCACTTAACAGTCACACACTCGCCACACCCCTGTGGGCTCAGTGACGGGCCGCGCGAGGTGTGAGCTGCTCAGGTCCGCATTCCGTTTCTGTATGGGGCCTCCTTGAGGAGAACCAGAGAATGTGCTAGGGAAAGGCCAGCTGCCCTCAGCCTGCCGCTCAGCTCGGGCCCCTCCCTCGGGGCCTTGGCACAGGCTGCTCTCTCTGCTCCAGACATCTCCCCCCACTCCCTCGCTGCGCTTGGCTAATCGGATCCCTCCCCCAGGGACGCCTGCCCTGCCTCTCCTCCAACTGAGTTTACTGCCCCCTCTAAGAGCTCCCCTAAAATTCTGTACTTCCCCCACGGGGCCCCTGCCAAACTGTGAGCCCCGGGAAGGCAGGACCCATGACTGCCTTGTTCACTGCCTAGCACAGAAAAGCCTCTCATTTAAACACTTGCCTAACACGTTCACTCAACCCTGCGCAGGTGCTGAGCACCTACCCTAACAGGAACCTGTGCTGTTGAGGGTGTGGTCAGTAGCAATCAGAAAGCACCTGCGAAACATCTGACTCTCTCTCTCTCTCTCTCTCTCTCTCTCTCTCTCTCCCGACCCCCTCCCTGCTCAAGACCCGCAATACTGCCCACGCTTTTGTAAGTCGTTCCTGTAGGAGACTCTACTCAAATCTCCCTGTTTGAGCACATGCCATCTGTCCCCCGCAGATACTGATAGGAAAAACCTTAGCGAGTGCGAAGAACTGAACCTTGCGGCAGCTTTCTTTGGGCAGGTGAGGGAGAACGTGGGGCAGGCACCGCGGGGGCTAGGCCCTGGGGCGGGCGGGCAGGCGGGCGCGACAAGTTCAGGTGAGGGAAGTGCAGCTCACGTGCATGCGTGTGGACGCGGGGCGCCTCCAGCAGGGTCTCAAGACCCTCCCCAGCCCCCAGGACGGCGGACTTCCGGACCCTGTTTGTGCTCTCTCCCCAGAAGGATGCGGGAGCCCCGCGGGCCGGAGGAGTCGGCGTCCGGATGCACGGCCCCGTGCCTGGCGTCCTGCTACGCGCAGCGCGTGCTGCAGGCCCTCGACGCGTTCCGTCGGAGCGGCACCCTCACCGACGTGGTGCTGCGTGCCGGCGGCCGCGACTTCCCGTGCCACCGCGCCGCGCTCAGCGCGGGCAGCGCCTACTTTCACAGCCTGTTCGCCGCCGGGCGCCCGGAGCGAGGCCTGGCCCTCGTGCTCGTAGAAGCGCCGGGCGCGGAGCCTGCCGGGGCGGCGGCTGCGCTGGCCGTCGTGCTCGACTACGTGTACGGCGCGGGCGTGCGGCTGCGCGCCGAGGACGAGGCGGCCAACGTGCTGGCGCTGGCCGAGCGGCTGGGCGTGGAGGGCCTGCGCGACGTCTGCGCGCGCTTCCTCGAGGGCCGCCTGCGTGCGCACAACAGCCTGGCGCTGCGCCGCGTGGCCGCCGCCTTCTCGCTCGCGCCGCTGGCTGAGCGCTGCGGCCGCGTGCTGCGCCAGGCCTTCGCGGAGGTGGCGCGCCACGCCGACTTCCTGGAGCTGGCGCCGGATGAGGTGGCGGCGCTGCTGGCGGACCCCGCGCTGGGCGTGGCGCGCGAGGAGGCGGTGTTCGAGGCGGCCATGCGCTGGGTGCGCCACGACGCGCCGGCGCGCCGCGGGCAGCTGCGGCGCCTGCTGGAGCACGTGCGCCTGCCTCTGCTGGCGCCTGCCTACTTCGTGGAGAAGGTGGAGGCCGACGAGCTGCTCCAGGCCTGCGGCGAGTGTCGCCCGCTGCTGCTCGAGGCCCGCACTTGCTTCATCCTGGGCCGAGAGACAGGCTCGCTGCGGGCCCGGCCGCGCAGGTACGGCCGCTGCCCCTTGCCCCCCGCCCTTTGCCGTTGGCGTTGTCTCAGCCATCACTCCATCACCCTTCCGTTCACATGGTCGCACCTCTCGGTGCTGGGAATTCTGCCCTCGAGGAGTCAGCGGCCCGGGGTGGCGGGGGGAGTCTTGGGAGCTCATTCTTCTTGCCCACCCATCCGTCCGTAATCCTGATGCTGTGTGCACTCGGGAGCCATGGAGAAACGCTCTGCCCTCCCATCACAACTGCAGCTCACAGACCAGAGAGGGACAAAAGTAGGCGGGCGCATGGGGCAAATGAAAGAGGTGGCCCTGAATATGGCGTGGCACCCCCTGGGACAGAAGACAGGGACGCCATGTCTCGGCGTTGTGTGTCACGCCAAGCGCAGGACCTGGACGCAGAAGACGCTCGGTGGCAGTCCGAGGCATTAGGAAACCAGTGGCTAGCAGGGGTTGTGAGGGCGTCAGTAAGAGGGGAGAGGGACTTGCTGCTCTGATTCAATGGCGATGGCTGTAGGAGCTGGCCGTGGGAGGGAGCGAGCAGCGCCAGCGGTTGATTATGGCGATGAAGTGCGGGCTGGAGTCAGGCACACCTGGCAAGGGGGTCATCACCATGAGGATTCGGCCGGGCGATCGTCCTGGGTAAGGGTGGGCTCTGTGAAGGCTCTTTCTGCAACGTGGCGCTCAGCAGAATGCAGTGAGAACCAGTGACCCCTGCCCGGCCGCAGGAAGGCTGCAAGTGTCAGAGTCCATCGTGGGCTGGGGCGGGAGCAGCGTGGTGGCACAGAGGGTGAGGCAGGGCCGCGAGGTGGGCGTGGGCCAGCGGGCACTGGGCTTATCCTCGCCCCAGATTCATGGACCTAGCCGAAGTGATCGTGGTCGTCGGCGGTTGTGACCGCAAGGGTCTCTTGAAGCTGCCATTCGCTGACGCCTACCACCCAGAGAGCCGGCGCTGGACGCCGCTGCCCAGCTTGCCCGGCTATGCACGCTCCGAGTTCGCCACCTGCGCTCTCCGCAACGACGTCTACGTCTCAGGTGAGGGCGTGGCTCCAGGGGGTGGGGCTGCAGGCAGCTGGCTTTTCCCTCTTAGCCGTGATGACCTCGGGTCACCTTAGTGTTCACCGTCACTTCTGCTGGCCCAGCCTACAGCCTGCCGGACCTCAGGCTGAGCAGCTCCCATTCATTGCCTTTTAGTCCCCATGACAACCCCGTTATGTGATTCTACATTCTACAGGTGGGAGAACAGAGCCTGCCCTCCCTGAGATTCAGGCCCTAGAAACTTGGAGAATTAAAACACAGTGCTTGCTCCCCTGGAGGGGAGACGGACCTAGCTTTCCCATGAGGCTCTCGGGGTCCCCAGATGATCAGGGAACCTGGCCCGACTTTGTGGAAGGGCTCGACCCTGAAAGGTGGAGGGAGCAGCTTAGGTAAAGGTAGGAGGGCGGGTGTGTGCAGGAAGGAACCCCAGCCCCAGGGCTCTAGGGAGAAGGCAAGTCTCTTTGGGGGATGGGGGCATGATTCGAGGTCTGGGAAGGCTGTACTTGAGGTTGCAGTGAGCGGTGGGTGCCTGCGAAGGGTGAGGAACAGGAGAATACGTGGGGGAGGCCTCCGAGACCAGCCACACCACCCGTTAGCCCGTGGTGGCCTCTGAGGGACACAGCCTCTGCTGAATGCCACCAGGAAGGCCATCCCCCAGGCTGGTGCACTGTGCTCTGGACAGGCGGTGGTGAGCACTGGGTGAGGACTCTAGAGGGCAGAGGCCTGACACAGGAAGGAGAGGCTGCTCCTCACTGGGTCGGGGCTCAGGCTGAGTGGTGCCATCAGCATTGTCCCAGCATGCCTAGGGAGAGTCTAAGCCTGCACCCCAGTGTCTAAGCCCATAGGGCGGGGCCCAAAGCTCTGGTCATTCCTCCCCAAAGGCCTTGTGGTCTTCAGCTGTCTGTCCTGACTGCTGAGCCTCATGTGACTTTCCCGTATGGAGACTGGGGGGATGACGCCAGCACCGCACAGAGGAACATCACCCGGCCACCCTGCACACCCATCCCCACCTCCACCCACCTGTGCAGGCAGCTCTGCCTCCCTGGGTCCCCAGCACACTCCTGCAGCCTGCCACGGTACCCTTTGTACTTCCAGCTTTAGCGCAGTGCCCTCATCCCTGCTTCCCTGTGCACGGGGCCTGGCCGGCCAGTGCAGGCACCAGCCACGAGCAGCAACTTCTTGCTGAAACTGTCAGGCCTCTCCCCTGAGCCCTAACCCAGCCCTCCTCTTTGGGGGTGCTGGCAACATGAAGAGGGCCCTGGGGCTACAGCTGCTTCTCTCACCCTAGGAGGCCACATCAACAGCCGTGATGTGTGGATGTTTAGCTCCCATCTGCACACCTGGATCAAGGTAGCCTCGCTGCACAAGGGCAGGTGGAGGCACAAGATGGCGGTCGTGCAGGGGCAGGTAGGGACGTGCAGCCACTGCCCCAGAACAGATCTGTGCGTGCCCTGGGGAAGTCCCTCTAAGGCCACCTCTTTGTAAGAAGGGTTCCAGGGCCCCAAAAGGAAAAGGGACTTTCCCAAGGTCACAGGTAGTAATAGCAATTACTGTGACAGTACAGCCTCATTGTCCAGGGTGTGAGCTCTGGGGCCAGATGGTCTGGGTTTGAATCTTGACTCTGCCACTTAAGACAAAAAAATCTCTAATTTGCAAACTGCATCAAAAACTCATAACTGCAAATAAAGTGCTTCTTAGGATTTATTAAACAGACAAACCCTTAATAAACTACCTGCTATTACCAAGTAGCGTGGCACCAGGTGTTTTATGGATCTAATCTGCATTCAGTGCTTATCGCAGAGAAAGGTCTCCTTATCTGTGGTCAACCAGAGGAACTGGCTCAAGGAGGTGGTGGCAGCGCTGAGATGCCCCCTGCAGGCTTGGTTTGGTCCCAGAGCTGGGGTGGGCACAGTTTCTACAATCAGACTGAAGACCTGACCTCTGTGCCCCCGCGGGTGTCCCCACTCACAGCTGTTTGCGGTGGGCGGCTTCGACGGCCTGCAGCGCCTGCGCAGTGTAGAGCGCTATGACCCCTTCTCCAACACCTGGGCAGCCGCTGCGCCCCTCCCAGAGGCCGTGAGCTCTGCGGCAGTGGCGCCCTGCGCGGGCCAACTCTACGTGATCGGGGGCGCCGGGCAGGACGGCGTGAACACAGACAAGGTGGGCACTGGCCTGGAGGTGCACAGAAGGCTTAGAGACGGCAGCAAGTCTGCACCTGCCATGTGCCAGGTAGTGCCATGTGCCAGGTTCAGAGCTGGGCGAGTTCCTTGTTCCTTCCCTCACTTAACCCCATCAGTAGCCCTGGAGTTGCCCCATGTTTTAGGCAAGGAAATAAATTCTGGAAAATAAGCCCACAGTTACAAACGGTAGCTCAGCAGCACACCTGGATTCAGATATCCTGGCTGGTGCCCTGTGGGTTTCCTGGATGTAGACAATGAAGTGAGGATTAACGAATGAGCACACTGCATGTGCCTAGCACTTCATAGCCCTGGCTGACAACGTATGCAGGACAGTCCACTGGCTGGCTCCACCACAGTCTACTCGTCTCATTCTCCACTGCTGGATACTGAGGCTTTCTGGGTCATCCTCACCCCCACCACCTCCCACTGTGGCCTCCCAGGCCTGTTATCCTGGGATCAGACTCTTTCCCCAGTCGGGCTCCCTCCCCCTCCTCATTCCCTGACCCCATTCTCCAGCAGTCCTGCCTGCAGCCAGATGAGGGGGTGGGGAAATGCCATCAGCACTGTTTTGTTTATGACTGCTAGGAAACAGGGAAACGAACGCGGCAAAGGGGGTTGGCAGCTAGGTACAATTATGCATCCTCAAATTACTTGGGCATCAAAAACACCCAGGGGCCTGAGCCCCGTGGACAGCCAGAGTTAGTGGGCTGCGAGATACTGCAGCTGGCACCTTGTCACAGCCTCAGTGCACCGGGACCACCGAGGAGGGTTGACCGTGTGTACAGCCAGGAACGCACCTCCGTGGGGCTGCTGCGAGGACCCTGCATGCACCCATGCATGCAATCCCTCCACCTCCTGGGACACGTATCCCTCCCTGCCTGCTGGGATGAGCTCATACTGTTCCCCATCAAAGGCGAGACCAGCCCTGCAGTGGGGAGGGCAGGAAGGGAGAGCCCAGAGAAAGCTTCCAGGGTGGGGCACTGAGCTTCCCACAAAGGGAGGCTGGGGGAGGGGGACAGAGCACAGAAGTGTAGAGAGCACTCGGGACCTCCTCTGCCCTTCAGCCCAGCTCAGGCCTGGCAGACGCTGGCAGGTGTGGTACTGAATGGGTGTCCCGGGGACAAGGGCAGGGAGTAGGTAGTGGGGACAGAGGCTTCACTGCTGCCACCCACCCCACTCCTCAGGTGCAGTGCTTTGACCTCAGAGAGGACCGGTGGAGCCTGCGGTCACCAGCGCCTTTCTCACAGCGGTGCCTCGCCGCCGTGTCCCTGGAGGATACCATCTATGTGGTGGGCGGCCTCATGAGCAAAATCTTCGCCTACAACCCTGGCACCGATGCCTGGGGAGAGGCTGCAGCTCTCCCCAGCCCCGTGGTAAGTGGAAGCTCTGGGGATACAGGCCCCGTTCAGGAGAGTGAACCCACTCCCAAAGCCCTGGGCTCACAGCCAGTCACACGACTCCCTGCTGGGTGCTTTTACAGGGTTCTCTAACTTTGTCCTCACAATGATCATCACCCTAGCATTTCACAGATTAGGAGAAAGCCTCAAGGAGGTTGGCCCATGGCCACCTTAGGCCATGTTGGGGCAGAGCCGAGAAACCTGGTCCCAGTGCTGTCAGCTGGACTGGGGAGGGGGGTCTCGTTTCCATGATCCTGAGTTCTCCACTGCCCTAAGGCTACCAGCTGGTAGCCTACTCTGCATGTTGCGGTGGGGGGGGGGGGGGGGGGAGGCATGGAGCTGCTCCATTCTCCTGCTCCAGCGGGTATGAGAGAGGGGAGGCCCACATCCTGGAAACTCCTCCACCTTCAGTCCCTGTCCCCCAAAACTTGAGAGAGGCTGCATACTGGCGTGGAAGGACCGGGGTCCCTGCCAGCCCTGACCTGCAGTGATCGTAAGGCCTGGCACCTCTGGCTTCTCTAAGTCCAAGAGCCGGGCTGCTGGTGGTGACTACTGTTAGTGTGCTCTGGGAATTCAGGCACCAGCAGAATGTGAGACCCCGTCGAGTGGGGAGGGCATCCTGTGAAGAAGGTACTGCCATTCTTCTCACCTCCCACGTGACGAGCCCAAGACACAGAGAGGTCAAGGGACAGGGCTCAGGCCATTCACTGAGGAAGGGTCCAGCCACACCTTGAACTGTTCTGTCCTGCCTCCTGCCCCTGTGCCAGCCAGGCTGCCTGTTTCACAGTCTGCAGATCAAGGTTCTCTTACCTGGCCTGGCCAGGGAGGGACAGGAGGAGCCCCAGGTTTGGGACTGAGTTTGGACTTTGTTTGTCCCCCAGGAGAGCTGTGGCCTGACTGTGTGTGACGGGAAGGTCCACATCCTTGGCGGACGGGATGATCGCGGGGAAAGCACCGACAGAGTCTTCACCTTTGACCCCAGCAGTGGACAGGTGGAGGCCCAGCCAGCCCTGCAGCGCTGCACCAGTTCCCACGGCTGTGTCACCATCGTCCAGAGCCTGAGCAGGTGACTCAGGCCGGGACAGCCCAAGCCGGGAGGTAGAGAGGCAGCACCACTCTGCGCCCCTCCCGACACTGCCCTGTAAATAGCCCCTTAGTGCCCTTTTTTGTAGAAATAAAACCTCGCTCAAAGGTTTAGTCTGTGTTCTAGCTTGAACCGGTTCTGCCTGGAAAAGCAGCCCCAAGCTCTGCTGCCTGTTTTTGCTCCGTACAAGGCACTTCCTGTCTCCATCTGTCTGGGCTGCTGCAGCAGACAGGAATTTACTTCCCAGTCCTAGAAGCTTCTTGGGACGTCTGATATGAAGGCGCCTGCAGATCTGTCATCCGGTGAGGGCTCTCTGCACCCCAGGTGCTGCTTTCTCCCTGTGGCCCCACCTGGTGGGAGGGGCCAGGGCAGCACCCTTCAACCTCATTTCTAAGGGCACCACTTCACCCTCACTTCCCTCAGGGCCCCACCTCTTCATACTGTCACACTGGGCGTGAGGTTCCAGCAGGTGAATCTCGGAGGGCGAGCACCAGCATTCAGTCTGAGGGACGCCCTTCACTTCACCTGGTGTGCTACTGCAGTAACAGCATGGCAGAGGGCTTTAACAGGAACACTGTTTAGGCAGAAAGAGAAAGAAACAGCTCAAGAATGAATATCTTTGCTCCTTCCAGCTAGGTTAAGAAATCAGTAGTAACAGATGCCTCCGTGGTCCCATCTTCCGCACCCATCTCTTCCCCTCTCTTCGCAGAGATAACCACTGTGTGGGTTTTGGGAGGGTCGGCCCTTTTTGTTTCCCTTGCCATGAGCTCGTTCCTCTGTGTTCTACAGATGAGGACCTGCCTTACAACAGTGACAAGAACCGCCCACATTCGCTGCTGGTCTGGTCAAGACAGTCTCTTTCTCAACTGTCCTCTCCAATTCAAACACCTGGCAATGACAGATAGGCTTAAACCAGAAAACTAGACAGAGGCACAGGCTTAGAAACGAGCAAACACAAGGGCCAGAAATGACAGCGCCGCACAGCACTGCGGAAGGCTGACATGCGAACTCAGGTTCACTCTGGGATTCCAACCAGGCCCCCTGCTAGAAGCCAGGCCAAGGTGGGACCCCCTCCCCATGGAAGAAGCTGAAGCAGCACAACAACAAACTGGTGGACCCTGAGCAGCCATGGAGTTGAGGCTCACAGCAAACTGCAGGCCCCGGGGTGTAGGCTGCCAGAGCCACAGGCCTCCGAGAACCCAGCCACCTGGCTCTGATTTCATGTATTCAGTGGTGGGTCTTGTTCTGGGTGCACCGCAGGCACAGCAATGAAGCTGACACCTTTCCTGCCTTAAGGGACAACCTTTAGGTATGTCAGGGGAGACCTGAGCTGTCACACATGAAGGCCTGCCTTATGCTGGGTGACAGAAAAGAGGCAGCAGATAAAGGGCAGAAGGAAAGAGTGGACTACTCCAGGCTCGGGCTATCAGGTGAGCCCAGGCATAGTGCAGGAAAGGACATGGGCACACGGAAGTGTCTCGGTGAGACGCCCATGTCCCCACAAAGAAACTTGCTCCTACTTGTGGCCTGGGTAGACAAGCAATATGGAGCCGCCTTTCGTTTGACAGAGGCGTTACCCTGGGCAGGGCATCCAGGCCACTCCCCTCCCCCTGCTGCCATTATCAGCTGTGTCCAGATGGCCAGAGCATCCCTAATCTGGGATAATCAGGTGGTTGGAGCTCAGCTGGGACCCGGGCCTTTGTGCCAGGCTGTGATGGGCCAGCCCCAGCTGGAGAGACCCTGCAGACCAGGCCCTGGGGCTTTGTGAGACGGGGAGGGTTGTGGGGCTGACCCTGTGCAAGGGACGAAGATGGGAGGAGCAGATGATAACTCCTCTTCAAAAGGCAATCCATGTGCAAATGAAGGAGAGCCCACAGATGGGCCTGGCTGGCTCCTCCATGCTCAGCCTCACAGAATCTGTCTCCGGTGCCTTTGTTCCCCACCTCTCCTCCTTGGAGCCCACCCCAACCTACCCAGCAGCTTCGTGTTGCTGCAGCCACACCAGGTGCTTACAGTGCCCTGGGGAATCTTTCTGTCTGTTGGGACTCTGGCTGCTGCTTTCCCCACACAAATGAGGAAATGGAGACTAAAGGGCCGCACAGGGAGGTGCCTAAAGTTACTGAGCTGGGGAGGGGCAGCATAGCCAGGATTCCAGCCCGGGTCTAGTGCTCTCCAAAGTCCACTCCACTACACAGCCTGTCTAAGGCTCCACTAACCTGACACAGCATGGTGCATGTAGCAGCACAGGGCTGATGTCATGCCCACCCTGGGAAATCCCAGCCTGCTATGAGATGCAGGGAGACATGGATCATGTCCTTGATGAGTGAGGATCACAGGAAAACAAGCAAAGGTGACATCCACGTGTTCTCATCTCCCAGGACTGCTGTTAAGAGTGTCTATGTAAGCAGAGGGACCACTGCATTTCAGACCCCGCAGGGCAGCCTCCTGTAGGGAGGGGCAGCTACCCAGGCCACAAGTTGTAAGCACTAACCCCTCAGCCACGCAGGCCCACCATGTCTCCCCATGAGAGCAGAAAGGCTTGTCTCAGGCTGTGTGAAACAGTAGATGCCACTGGACCTTGAGTGAGCTTTTAGGTTTCTCTGAGCAGTTCTAGCTGTGAGGACTGGTATTTTACATTCTATTTTTTAGTCGTCTTCCAAAGGATAACACAATTTACTTAAAACAGACTGAAAGCTGGCGCCACGGCTCACTAGGCTAATCCTCCACCTGTGGTGCTGGTACTCCGGGTTCTAGTCCCAGTTGCTCCTCTTCCAGTCCAGCTCTCTGCTGTGGCCCTGAAGGGCAGTGAAGGATGGCCCAAGTGCTTGGGCCCTGCACCCACATGGGAGACCAGGAGGAAGCGCCTGGCTCCTGGCTTCGGATCGGGGCAGCGCACCAGCCGTAGCAACCACTTGGGGAGTGAACCAAAGGAAGGAAGACCTTTCTCTCTGTCTCTCTCTCTCTCACTAACTCTGCCTGTCAAAAAAAAAAAAAAAAAAGAAAGAAAGAAAAAAAATAAAACATAAAAAAAAAAAAAAAACAGACAAATTCATCCTATCTTGAGGTTGCCACATGGGGTCATTCCTAGCACTTTGAAAAAAAAAAAAAGGGCCAGTGCTATGGCGTAGTGAGCAAAGCCGCTGCATGCAGTGCCAGTATCCCATATGGGCGCTGGTTCCAGTCCCGGCTGTTCCACTTCTGATCCACCTCTCTGCTATGGCCTGGGAAAGCAGTAGAAGATGGCCCAAGTCCTTGGGCCCCTGCACCCATGTTGGAGACCCAGAAAAAGCTCCTGGCTTCATGGAGATCAGCTCAGCTCCAGCCGTTGTGGCCAATTGGGGAGTGAACCAGCAGATCAAAGACCTCTCTCTCTCTCTAACTTTTTCAAATAAAAAAAAAAAAAGATTTATTTATTTGAAAGGCAGAGGTCTTCCATCCACTGGTTTGTTCCTTAGATGGTTGGAGCTGGGTGGATCTGAAGCCAGAAGCCAGGAGCTTCTTCTGGGTCTCCCATGTGGATGCAGAGGTCCAAGCACTTGGGCCATCTTCTACTGCCTTCCCAAGCCATAGCGGAGAGCTGGACTGGAAATGGAGCAGCCACTGGGGCCCATATGGAGATACCAGCACTACAGGCTTTACCCGCTACGCCACAGCACCAGCCCCACTGCACACTCGTACATTTAAAACACTCTGAGGACTTGATGGGCTTACTTTTCCTACTGCATCTTCAAACACTTTGCTATCTCATCACCCTAAAAATTACTTCCTATTACTCACCAGTTATTCTCAGCTCTGCTAGACAGATTCCGAGAATAAGCAGATGGAGGAATGACGGTGTACCCGTCACACAGTCCTTTCTGCATTTCCACAGTGCTGTACCATCTTCCAGAAGGCTGCAAACACTGGCCAACAACCTGGTTTCTTCCTTTTCTGCCTCTACTAAGAAGAAATCAGACAGAGGACACTCACAGCACCTCATTAGGCTCTTAGGATGGCAGCAAAGCTAGTCATGTGGGCAAAGTCTTTCCCAGGTCAGCCACCTTACACCAGGAAACTGTCACCCCAACTTTGGTCACTTCCAACCTAGGGTTTTAGGCTACTCTCAGGAGGGGAATGGAATTGAAAGAGTGTGCCTCTCCAGGGACTGTCTGGGGCATCTGTGTATTTCCAAAGCCATTCAGTAAGGAGTTCATCAGTCTTCTCTGACAAAAGCCCCTATCATCCCATTTTGCTGAAAGGTGGCATGGCAATATCCTTTCACCTTTATGGTGTCTAAAATTCACCCATCTGAAAGGCCGCTCCAATTGTTTCTAGTACATTCAAAGCTATGCAGTTAATACTTGTTGAATATTTTTGAATACTTTTTTTTATAAAGATGTATTTTATTTATTTGAAAGACAGAGTTACAGAGAAAGGTAGAGACAGTGAGGTTTTCCATCCACTGGTTCACTCCCTAGATGGCTGCAATGGCCAGAGCTGCGCTCATCCAAAGCCAGGAGCCAGGAGCTTCTTCCAGGTCTTCCACGTGGGTGCAGGGGCCCAAGGACTTGGGCCATCTCCTACTGTTTTCCCAGGCCTTAGCAGAAAGCTGGATCAGAAGTGGAGCAGCCGGGACTAGAACCAGCACCCATATGGGATGCAGGTGCTACAGGCCAGGGCTTTAACCCACTGCACCAGACCGCTGACCCCAACTTTTTTTTTTTTTTTTTTTTAATTAAAGATCTATTTATTTATTTGAAAGAGTTACATGGAGAGGGAGAGAGAGAGAGAGAGAGAGACACATGGGCACCGGTTCTAGTCCCGGCTGCTCTTCTTCCCATCCAGCTCTCTGCTATGGCCTGGGATAGCAGTAGAAGATGGCCCAAGTCCTTGGGCTCCTGCACCCATGGGAGACCTGGAAGAAGCTCCTAGCTCCTGGCTCCAGTTTGTAGCAGCTCCAGCCGTTGCGGCCATCTGGGGAGTGAACCAACCAATGGAAGACCTCTCTATCTCCACCTCTCTCTGTAATTCTGTCTTTCAAATAAATAAAATAAATCTTTGGTGAGGATTCACTTTCTCGGCTTGTTGAAGGTAGAAACCAGTAAGCAAAAGATATCAATTCCAGGCTCCATTC